GGTTAAAGTTTTATTTCTGATTTCGTCAATATAGATTGTTGCATTTGTAATTAAATGCTCTAAAGTAGGTTGGAAGTCTGGATTAAGAGGTTTATGAACCCTAAATTGTTTTTGGATTTGTTTTTGCATAATATCATTGAGATTGGGTGGAAGTGATTTCAAAAATAATTCTATTTTGCGTTGCTCAGATGCATCATCCAGTCCGGCATCATTAACAAGTCCGCAAAATCTTGTTACATAAGTAGTAAAATCTTCTTTTTGATCCCATTTGATAGCTTCTAACTCGAGAAGCTTTTCTTGATTACGAACAGAATCCCTTCTTCTACGAATACCGCCGCCGTCAATCTAGATAAATATTCTTAAGAGATTTGATTTTATGATATAAAAATTATATTATATATATAGATACATATTAAACACCTTTTCAAATTCATTACGAATTTCTACATCTTTTTGGTCCCATTTGGTAGCTTCTAGTTCTGGAAGCATTTCTTGATTATGAACAGAATCCTTTCTTCTACGAATACCGTCATCAAGCTAGTTAAATAAATATTCTTAAGTAATTTGATTTATTATATAAAAAAACTATATTAAATATATATTAAACACCTTTTCAAATTCATCACGAATTTCTACCATATTTTTTGATTCCGGATAACAATTAGTATGTAAAATTCTATTTAGTCAATACTGTACACAAATAATCAACAGATTAGTTTTAATTTTAACAACCAATGTGCAAAATTCTATTTGGTCAAAATTGCATTTTAAATAATGTATGAATTTATATTTGATTTATTATGATTTATTATTATTTTTATTGGATGCATTCTTACATTCACAGCGATTATTAACAAAGATCGATATTTTTTCGTAAGGAATCAGGAAAAAATATCACTTGAAATGGCCGGAGTGTAGCGGAAGGCACTTATTATTCAGTTAAGAAATTTTATTTTTATTGGCTGATCAATAAGAATTTTAATTGGCTGAAATTAAATTTCAATATTTATATTGTTGATATTGTTACACCGATTCTCGATAATCTTTACTGTCATGCTTTTGAAGTTTGTACTTATCTACTTCAAGTTACAACTTACCTAAAATTACTAACTAATATATGCAAGAAAATCTAATTTCAGGGGCTAATTTCAGTCAGGTGCAACTTTA